AAAAAAAGTTTACATCATCCTTTAACCATCCCCAAAAGTATCGGAACCCAATTCAGATACCACCATAATGAAAAAAAAAAATAGTACATAGACTCAATCTGAACATAAAAGGGAGGAAAAAGAATAAAACCCGAAGGCGAACTCTCACTTGGCGAAGAGCGAAGCCTTCCAGCCGCCCAGGATCTTCTCCACGCTGTGATTTAAGGCTTCTTTCAGCGCTCTCACCCTCGCGCCTTCTGTCTCCTCCGTCTTCAGCTCCTTTGCTTTCTCAGACATCGTCAAGGAATGGAAAACAAAGCTTGGAAACTAAAACGAGGGCCAAAAAAACTTCGAAGGGATAGTACTTGAATTTGAACGGACAGGAGACTACGAGCCTAATAATATTTATATGAAAATGTAGGGACTACGAGTGTAACATCTTTTAATGATAATAATAATGATAGTATTAATGATAATGATAATAATGATAATGATAATGATAATAATAATAATAATAATAATAATAATAATAATAATAATAATAATAATAATAATAATAATAATAATAATAATAATAATAATAATAATAATAATGATAATAATAATAATAATAATAATAACAATAATGATAATGATAATAATGATAATAACAATAATAATAATGGTAATTTATAATGATAATAAAAAATAATGATAATGATAATAATGATAATAATAGCAATAATAATAATAATTAGAGCGATCATAATAATAGTAATGATAATGATATTTATAATAATAATAATAATAATAATAATAATAATAATAATAATAATAATAATAATAATAATAATGATAATAATAATAACAATTATGATAATAATGATGATAATAATAATAGTAATAATAATAATGATAATTATAGTGATAATATCAATGATAAAGATAATGATAATAATGATAATAGTAATAAAGATAATAATAATAATAGTATTAATGATAATGATAATAATGATAATGATAATAATAATAATAATAATAATAATAATAATTAATAATAATAATAATAATAATAACAATAATAATAATAATAATAATAATAATAATAACAATAGTGATAATGATAATAATGATAATAGCAATAATAATAATAATGATAATTATAGTGATAATATCAATGATAAAGATAATGATAATAATAATAATATAATAATGATAATAATAGCAATAATAATAATAATAATTAGAGCGATCATAATAATAGTAATGATAATAATAATAGTAATGATAATAATATTTATAATAATAATAATAATAATAATAATAATAATAATAATAATAACAACAACAACAACAACAACAACAACAATAATAATAATAATAATAATAATAATAATAATGATTATGATAATAATGATAATAATAATAATAGTAATAATAATAATGATAATTATAGTGATAATATCAATGATAAAGATAATGATAATAATGATAATAGTAATAAAGATAATAATAATAATAATTATCATAGCAATAATAATAGTAATAGAAATGG